TCAATGTGGATGGAAAACAGATTCCCGCTCGACCTTTACAGCCAGATTTTGATGCTGAACTGTATGAACGAAGCTATGAAACATTATTTAGTGGAACTGGATAACAATTTCAAGATCAAAAAAATTGGTATAGGATATAACGATTACTCGGGAGGATATACACACTTTGATCTTACACCAGATCTATCTGCTGAAGATTCTCACTTTAACTTGGTTAAACATGGAAATACATGGATTGATATAGGATATAACGATTACTCGGGAGGATATACACTCTTTGCCTTTGATCTTACACCAGATCTATCTGCTGAAGATTCTCGCTTTAACTTGGTTAAACATGGAAATACATGGATTGATATAGGATATAACGATTACTCAGGAGAATATACACACTTTGCCTTTGATCTTACACCAGATCTATCTGCTGAAGATTCTAACTTTAACTTGGTTAAACAGGGAAATACATGGATTGAAATACGTTTTGGTAGGCCTTACCCAACACTATAACTGTTCTAGCATATGCAGAATTTCCGATATGAAAGTTTGGACCACGCATAAAAACAATTGTATATCATCAACGTAGAACAAAGTCATAAACCTGGTAGACACTGGGCCTGTATTTATCTTTGTTGAAATGAAAAAGGACAATATTTTGATACATTATGGCTATTTCTACATAAGAAAATTCATCAAGAACAACTGTGGAATGTGGACTTACAACCAAAATGTACTGCAAGGACCATATTGGTCTGTGTGGACAATATTGTATATATCATGTTTATTATCGTTGTCAAAACAAAAACTCCTATCTAATACTTGGATCCCACAAAGACATTATTAATATATTTCTTCATAATTATGTTATAAAATGATTCATGTAAACACGTCCTTAAGCTCTCTCAACACGGCTCGGTCGATTTCACTGATCACGTGACCTCTTTGTACTGGTTTAAAGTCCTTATAGTTTTCATACTATTAACATTTAATATAGTACGTATCTCAATCTACACAAAATTTGGCAGACTTTCAGTGAACATTATAATTCTTTTACATACAAAAATCATATTCTTAGCGAAGCATATTTTAATATACTAAAAAAAGATTTCTGTGAATATATCGAGTATTTGTTTTGACTCAAATTTTATTTACATAATCTCTAGAACTTCCTAAATTATAAATACAAAGAAGTAATTAACCCTAATTTTTAATACTAAGGGTAGTAATTCATTAAATAATTTGTATTTAATTAATGTACCAACGAACATTTAGTAATGACACGCTAAAAGCAGACAATTTTCCCTAACTATCACAATTTTTCTGGCTTTCTATGTGACAAGAGTTGTTACAAATTCATCCAAGCTAGTCATTATCTTTCCCGTGGGTACGAAGCTTCAACTAACAGAGAAATTGACTATTCTCAATTCAGAAAAGAACAGTAATCATTTGATACATGAAAACCTTGGCTTTCTATTAGTTTTACATAATATAAAATTAAACATATGAGGAAACTATTAAGAAATCGTGAAACAGAGGATGTGACAAGAGGTCTGATTTTTTATTTGATGGATCTGTAAACAAACAAAATTGATGGCTATACAAATTATGGTTCATCTGAGCAATGACGATTTTATAGTGAGTAATTTGGGTTAAATTTCGTACTTATTTGGGGGAGGGGGTGAATAAAATATAAAAGAGGGGATGCCTAGAGAAAATATATCAAATTTCACACACCAGAAGAAGTTCAGGATTTATTTTAATATTGCCTTATAGAATTAAGAACTTAAAACTTATACACAATTAAAATATGGATTATTAGCTACGATTTTATGCTATACTAATTAGCATGACATAAACAAAGAGTAATTTGATTAAAATTTGAATGTATGTCAGAAAACCTTGTGATAAGCACAGTAAAGGTTAGCCAGGGTAAGAGGATGAACAGCCAGGCAACAGTCATTTAATTTATCTAGAACTGGCAGTGATGCTTCAGGATAATGACTGTGACACCTGCATCTTTATTTAGCCATCTAAACATGAAGTAAAAGTTTCAAAAACAGCTTCTGCCAGAGAATAAAATAACCCTCTGGTGCTGTTGTACTTCCTGGCTAATTTGATCTTTCTAAAAATGGAAATCTTTATCTGAACCACATGGAAGCTGATCTTACTTTGAAGCTCAGCAAATAGGTTTTTAGGGTTTTTTCAGACCATGTTCCCATTGGGGGTGGTCGAAATTTCATACTTACGTGAGTGCACCTGAAGGCATCCCAATAATAGACAAGTGACACAAGAGTCTTCACCCCTTTCTCTGACCATATACTGTTTTGATGAAACTTTTTGTGTTCTTATATGTAGGTCAATGGAGGATAAAGCTGAATGTGTACTCACTTCTCAGAAGTAATGTTTACCTTTATTTTTTATGTAATTTTTGTTCTAACTCTTTACAACCTACTACACAAAAGTAGTATTATCTCATCTGAAGATAACTTTATGTTGTACCCCATTACAAACACCACAGTTGTATGGTGTCTCCCCTATTTAAATCAAACATTCATGCTGTTGGTTACCATAGTTTCCACAGTCTGTGCTACTGTACATTCTAGAAAAGACACATGATTATTTCCAACATAACACCCTTTACATGTTTCTTTGAAACTAAAGTTTCTACAATCATACAAATATACATATTACAAGCACTTTGTTTTATTTCCAGCAACCTGGACCTTGAAAAAAAATGCCAAACAACTTCTTTTTGTCTAATAAAAACACCCCAAACATTTCTGGAATGACTTTTTAAATCTACTTCAATTCATAACAGTATGTTTGATGCCCATGGTGTATTGTATTGTTTTTTAAATGGCTCGTTCCATTAAAATTTTTGACACATGTAAAACCCTTATGTGAAAGAGAAATATAACATTTTATATTGAATTTGTATTTATTACTCATATCATTTCCAACAACAGTGTTTTACAAAACACTTGTTGATTTCAGACATTTACAGTTTCTGCCACCTGTGTACATTTTTATATATTTTAAGGCAAAAACTACATACACATCTCGCCACATCCAAAAACCAAGTGGTTTCTCCCCAGAACGTGTGTTATCATGACTTACCACATACTAGATGGTGTCCGATAAGTCTGGAATCACAGGTGATTTCTAACATTTCTTAATTTCACATATGTGACTGATTATGGAACTATCCAAGCGTGAAAAGTACAAATTAATCCTGGTGTTAATCCAAACTTCTTTTGAATTAAGAGTACAGCATGTGCAACACATTCTGTATAATTTGTTGAAATGCCTGTGGTTTCAGACTTTTTGGACATCATTTACATAAATCTACAGTTTCTCCCCATTATGTACCCTCTGATGTGTTTTAAGTTTATCATTACTTACTAACTTTTTTCCACACTTTACACAACTGAGTGGTTTCTCTCCAGTGTGTATCTTTTGGTGTGTTTTAAGATTACTACTTCTTCCAAAGTCTTTACCACACTCTACACAACTGTATGGTTTTTCTCCACTGTGTGCCCTCTGGTGTGTTTTAAGTTCATTATTACTCCCAAATTCTTTACCACACACCAAACAATTGTAAGACTTCTCTCTAGTATGCACCTTCTCATGTCTATTAAGTTGTCTTTTATTTCTGAATTTGTCATCACAAACTGCACAACTGTATGGTTTCTCTCCAGTGTGTATCCTTTCATGTTCTTGTAGGCAGGTATTTGTTAAAAATTTCTTTCCACACACAACACAACCATATGGTTTCTCACCAGTGTGTGTCCTCTCATGTATTTTACACTGACTATTACTTCGAAATATTTTGCTACACATTACACAACAGTAAGGTTTCTCTCCAGTGTGCACCTTCTCATGTTCGTTAAGTGCACTCTTACATCTAAATTTTTTATCACAAACAACACAAGTGTATGGTTTCTCCTCAGTATGTACTCTCTCATGTTGTTTTAACTGACTATTACTACGAAATCTTTTATTACACACTACACAACTGTATGGTTTCTCTCCTGTATGTATCCTCACATGATCTTTTAAACAAGTACTTGTAACAAATTTTTTTCCACACTCTACACAGCCATATGGTTTCTCCCCAGTGTGTATCCTCTCATGTATTCTAAGTTTAATATTACTTCCAAATT